GCATGAGTGTTTGTGTGTGTGTGCATGAGCGTGTGTGTGCATGAGTGTTTGTGTGTGTGTGCATGAGTGTTTGTATGTGTGTGCATGAGCGTGTGTGTGTGTGTGTGTGTGTGCATGAGCATGTGTGTGTGTGTGTGTGTGTGTGATATGCAAGTGCAAATGTACCTCACGTTGAGCTCAGAGGACAGCCTTGGGTGTGTCTCCTCACCTCCCATCTGGACTGAGAGAGGCCTTTTTTAAATTTTGTTTTGTTTTGTTTTTACTGTTTGTCAGGCTAACTTGCCTGCATACTACTTAGGATCCTCCTGTCTCCATCTCTCTGTGATTTCCCTTATACTATAGTTTTTGCCAGTGTTTTCATGTCTCTTTTGGACTTTCTCCCGAGTTTATCTTTTAAAAGAAATATGAAAAATCAAGAAATTCCACATCTATCCCTGAATTAAACTCAAATTCTCATTGTTGTTCTGAAGAATATCACTTTGGCAATGGCTTCTTGCCCCGAGCAGCTGATTTGATGTCCCCTCACTGTTTCCCCAGATCTCCTCCTCCCTGACTTTTTGGTCATTCTTTTGGTCTCAATGCCTTTCTCTATTTTTACTGCAAAACTCTACCCAGCTTTAGAACAAGATATCTTTGCCACAGAGATTTAGTTCCCACAGCACATGCTACATCTTTGATAACAGGCACCAGAAGATGAGCCCACCGGCTCTAGGATGCTCTGTTACTATACATCACAGAAGGTCTAACCTCCCTTTCCTCCTAAGAAGGACTCTGGGGTGTGAAGAGCGTGATCCATCTCTGTGTGCACCTTAGAGGGAGCAAGTTAGCAGGTATTCTACAGTCACTGACTTTGGGAGGCATTGGGGAATATTGCAGTTAAATTTCTTCTAATCAGCATTTTACAGGGAACATTTTAATGTATAATATTAATGGAAATAACAAATTCACTTCTAAAAATGCACATTTTTACTTAGTAAAGGCAGCTATTTAAAAATATTTCCCTCTGATTGTGTAAGAATAAAATGAAACCACACCTTTGTTTCTTCTTTTTTTAACAAATACATGAAGAAAACAAAAATATCCCCAGAATGAAACAGGCACAATGTAGTATCTAGGGGATGCTTCTAGGGGCATTCTCCAGCATCTATCTCTACCTCTCCTTGCACCAAAGCTCTGATGGCCCTAGAGATCTTCTCCAGCCATGCCGAGTCCTGAGGGGCACTGGGGTCTTCTCCAGGCATGCCGAGTCCTGAGGGGCGCTGGGGTCTTCTCCAGGCTTGCCGAGTCCTGAGGGGCACTGGGTTCTTCTCTAGCCATGCCGAGTCCTGAGGGGCACTGGGGTCTTCTCCAGGCTTCCCAAGTCCTGAGGGGTTCTGGGGTCTTCTCCAGCCATGCTGAGTTCTGAGGGGCTCTCAGGTGGTCTGAATGCAGTTCTATTGCTCCCATCAGCGGCACCACTGAGTTTCTCAGGAAATGACCACCAAGTGAGCAAACAAACCCCCTGCCCACATTAGTGGAAAACAGCCCATGAATGCTGCTCTTCAAGGCTTGAGGTCCTGGACGTCATGAAAGCTTCCCCTTCAGACCATAATGGTGATTCCTAAGGTCTGCATTCACAGGGCTCCGCTCCAATTTGGTGAAAGCCTTAAAAATTCAACTTTTCTACTCCTCTCTCTCTGTTTTCCCTTCCTTCTTTCACTTTCTTTTCTCTCCTGTTCCGTTCTATCCTCTGTGTGATAGCAGCCCCCGGTGTGGGTAAGCAAGAGCTCTAGCTCAGGGCTACAGTGATGAGTAGCTACAGGAGGAAGTCTGTGTGAAATATATTGGGTCCCTAAGTTTTAATCAAATGTGATTTTAAAAAATAAGTCAGAAGTAGTAAGGATTTCTACTGTTTAACACAGCTATTAAGACTACCCAGGCCCCCAAATTCACTTAGTGGAAGCAAAGCAAAACAAGCAGCAAGTGTGTGTAGTTAGTAAATGGTTACCTTTTATGTATTGGTATTATTTACTTTATGTCAGTAAGTTCATATCACATATGCTTTGGTGAATGCCCAGTGATGAGTACACCCTGCAATTCAGGGGAAATACTACTGCTGTAGCTGAGAAATGGCCACGCTACCTCTAGGTCCTCAACAGGAGCAATCGGGTGTGCAGTAGCCTCCCAGACTGAGGCAGCAGCAGGACCACACTCCGTCTGCTAACAGTGGGGCAATTACTTGCAGAGCGGGGCTTAGTAAATCCCCTAACACAAGTTTGCCTGGTAGCTATGTTGCAGTGTCTGCCACTGTTGGTTCAGCAGTCCCCACCATGGCAAATACTCCACTCAGCTCTCAAGCGCACTGTTCCTTCTGCTACTGGGATTTCTTCGGCAAAGTTCGTGCGCACGCGCACTACAGGTAGCGCCTCCTTTGCCAAATATGCACCACTTGCAGAAGTCACAGATTTTAAATCCAGAGACCTGAGAACGGTTTTCTGTTTTGTCCCTTTTGTGATAACCTGTGACTTCTGTTTGCTGGACGACTTGAGTGACTTCTGTTTCCAAAAAGAAAAAAGGCGAAGTCTCTGAACTAGCCTGTTTACCTCTGTTCACTCCCAGAGCAAGCAGCTTCCGAGTCCTGGCAAATGACTGTCTCTTAGCTGCTGGGACCTGACACTGAAGCATCAGTAACTGGTAGGAGAGTCCACGGTGTCCGTATCCAGTTCCATAGTCTCCTTGGTTCACAGAAGTGTGTTCTGAGAGGAAGCCTCAATAACCAAGACGAGAAAAAGTCAGACTGCAGCACCCCACAGACATTCAGGAAACAAAGGTCGGTGTAGGGAGCCCTTCGCACACATTCTGAGCCGGCACGGCAAGCGCTCTGTGTAAACAGGCTCACCCTTGGCTCTCAGATCGTTTGTGCCTCCACTTTCCGTCCGGCACTTCAGCAGAAGAGTGCAGACCGAGGATGAAGGAGCCTGCTGATAGATTGTCAGAAATATGGAATAGTTCAAAATATTAATGTAAGGCTAAGGGTGACTGGGTAACAAATGGTACGTTTGCTCATTGCTCAACCTGACACAATTAATATTCTAGGTCATGCTTAAGTTCCCATGATGGACAGTCTGAATGGGGGGAATTTAGGACAAATATATATCTATTATATAACTCATTCCCTTTTTTTGACCACTCAGAATCATAGCTTTTAAAAAAATCAGCTTTCACACCTCATTTGCGGTCTTCACCACTGGGCCACCAGTCAGCAGCGGGTCCTGCTGCACGGAGGTCAGTGGGAAGCTATTAGCAGAGTCCCCTCCTGAGAGCTCCTAGGCCTTATTGAGTTGAATGTTAGCATGACAGTACTGCAAATAACTCAGGTGTAGACTTTTTCTTTCTCTTTCTCTTTTTTCAAACAGTTAGCCCAGATTTCCCCATAGTGTTGGTCACTCTAGGAAATTATTGCTGGAAACGAAGTCCCCAAAGCAGGCCTGGCAGTGGCCCTTCTAGGTTGTGAAAAATGGGGGAAGCAGAAAATACCCCCATGCCCCTTAGGGGTCCCTGTGACTTGTGCGACTCACAGCAAACCATTCTTCTTGACCAGCTTTCAGGTATGGGATGTGGCAGTTGAGACAATCATACACTCTAAATCATTATTTACTGAAAGAAATAAAAATTAAATGGCTACTCTAGCAATAAACAGGTATTTACTTGCTGTGGGAAATCCAGGAGGGCCACTCTGCTTTTACTGAGCTAAGTTAGCTAATGTAATAATTTCTAAAATACTGACACCTTGAAGATTTTAAATGATACATTTGAAATTCAATTAAAATATATTTTCTATCTATATTTGATTTAAATTGCAAAGAGAATACACATGAGGAGGTCTCTATATAGTTGCAAAGTATAATTTAAGAAAGCTATCATGTCTCTCAAATTGCATTTCCCATCTTGCCTATGTATACACGTGCACGCAAATGCATGAGGAGATCAAGACTCCTAGTGGGGCAGAGTTAATGTAGATGCCAGCAGTGATTCCGGCCAACAGAGATTTTAAATGGTAAATTACAACCTTTAGCTAAGTTGTATGAATCTCACAACTTAATCTATAAGGTTGTAGAAATTTGGCAGTAAAGTAAATTAACAGATTTCCAATTAGACTGCCACCGACCAAAACGGCATCTATTCTCTTCTATCTTTTTCAGAGAGCATATGGAGTAGTTAACTGTCCTAGAAAGGTTCGGCATTTCTAACCCACACTTCCACAAGTGTTGGTTTGCATCCTACACCCACACCTGCCCTGTCCCCAGCTCTTCCTCTCTGGCTTAGAGGTACCGTCTACTCCACCATCGTCCGTTACTTAGGTCACTATTTCAGAGTTATCGTCGTGTTTTAGTTTTCCACAGCAAGCACGTGGAGAGGAGGGCTGTCCTTTGGGTATTTTGGCAACCTCAATGTCTACCAAGATGCAAGGCACACAGCAGATACTCAATAAATGAATGTAACCCTCAGCCGCTCAGAAAGGTGCATCATACCCTGCTCCAGCCTCACTTTCCAAGGCAGAGTAAGCACGTGCGTAGGGACTAGAGACCAAAGGGATTCACGGATGTGACCCCCTTTCCCTAACATGTTGTGTAATGATCCGTAATTCAAATCATCAAGTATTCGTTGCATACATAATTAACACCCCAAAATAATTCAAACATTGGACGTTTGCCTTCACGTTTTACAGATACCGTTTAAAACATATTTGTCAAGAATACAAAATGGATGACTTGATATCCCTCTATTATTTTCCCTCAAATACAATTTCAGACTAAGTTTTTAAAACATATTAACTCTACGATCCTGAAGGTTGCTAAGATTGTTGGTCTAAATCGGATATAAAGGGTCAAAGTTCTAAATCCTCCTCTGGTAAACCCAACCTCGATTAAACACCAAAGTTGAAATTTAAACTGTTTCTCCCTTGAATGAATGAAAATTTAATATCATATGAAAATGAAAGAATCTCTGTTCTTCTCTAGACTCCAGGTATATACAACTCACCTTTCCGAAACCAGCCTGACCCATGGGAGCTGCGGTTACAGAAGGCAAAGCCTTTAGGGCACAAACCAGCCACAGCCGCAAGGACCAAGTCCTACCATAGCTTGAGCAGCTGGCTCGAATGCACCAGTGCCCGCTCCTTCCCTCACTCGGCAAGTCTGCCACCTATCAACAGGAAGCGGTGTCAGGTACCAAGTGGCCCCATGTGAATCTGTCCGTTTTATCCTCAGTCTTCTCCTAGCCTCTTCCTGTGGGAAAGTATGCCTAGTATGACATCAGTCAGCGTCACCATTTTCCAGCACACATTTTCTTAGCATTAGGTTCATTAACACTGTTGGCTGACCAGTGCTGTCACCCACATACCAACTCTGTGTTGTCGACCTCAGCCTCCTCAAACTGTGATCTCCATTTCCCCTTTCCTGCGTCCCATCACGGCCTATTTTGCTTATCACAGTGTAATTAAGGCCCATCAAAATATGTCAGAGTTTCATATTATATACATATACATCTTTGCAAATTATGTAACTCCATCATATGTGTATGTCCAACTGTTTATCCATTCATGGCTCAAAAGACATGATCACTTTTATGTTAGCTACTTTAAAAATACCTCACAAACCCAATACCATGTTTCTGACTACACTATACACTACTAAGTGAAATGGGTTACAAGTCTTTTCATCCATCCTGTAGAGAGTATTTTTACTCTTTCCGTGGTGCTGTGTGATTTAAAATGCTATGCTTGTTTTTATGAAAGAAAAGTCCTTTCTTTTAAAGACTTAACTTGAAATAAGAAATATGCCACATTAAAGTTGTTGCCAAAAATGTTGGTAAGTAGTTTCCTAGTGCTGGACATTGTTCTGAGTGTGGATTCAGGACAAGGTTATTGAGGAAATGCCAGATTCTTGTGTGCAATGTTACAGTGGTACCTGCTGTAACCCATTGTTGCTGGATTTTTATGTTTATGTGCTGTCCAACTGACATACCATAACCTCTTCTTAGATAATACACATATTGTATGTACCATTTGAAACATGACTTGCATTTGAATAATTTATGAAGTGCGCAATGTGGAGATACTTCAAAGACTCACAACACAGACAGGACATCTTGACTATGCCTGGATTGTGTCAGGGTTAGGGAGGAAAAATCCTTCCTGGGTTGCAGGGCCGGCTTGGAGAGAGGAAAGGATATTTGCCATGATCTTAAAAGTCCTAGAAGGGACAACTCTGCGAAGCCTTCAGGATTTCAGCGGCAGAAGTCATCTAACTGTGGCTAGTATCATTCTGCAACAGGGTGGGGTTTGACTCTGCAGGTTAAACCTCTGTTCGTTGACGTCCTGCACAGGCTTGGTTCTTTATATGCATCCTTGAATAATCAATTCCAGAAATAGAAAAAGGCTTAAACCAAAGTGCATTTGCCTTTTCATAGTAGCCCTGGGTTACTGCCTCTGAGTCCAGTTTTCTTATGGCTGTAGTCAGGGGTCAGCGATGCCGTGACCTCTGAAGGCTTGAATGGGCTGTAAGGATAGGAAGGCAAAGAGATCCTTCATCCACATGGCTGGTTGTTGCCATGCTGTGCTTCCTCACAGTGTCCACACCACAAAGTGGCCCCCACAGTGTGCCTTCAAAGGGAGCCATCCTAGAGAAAGAGGAGGGGAGCTTTCAAAACAGAAGCCAGAACTGCTATCCCATGACCTTTGCCCTGTTCTCTTTATTCAGAATGAGTAGGCCTGTTTCCGTCCAAGGACAAGAGCCCACTCAGAACAGAGAATAGCATGAAGCAGAGCTTACTGGAGGCATCTTAGAGGCTACCTTTCCCTGCCTCTCAGTAAGACCACCTGCGTTCTACAGTGTTAAATCTTCCTATATTGCTATAATTATCTGTGGTATTTTTCTGTTCCCTGTAACTATACCTTCAATTGCCTTTATTTAAGTATTTTCCTCTCAAAACTTCTAACAAAATAAATACGATTAGCTGTTATTTTATGACATTTTAGAGGGAATCATAAAGCATCTCTAATGATAGATATAGATATACATACTATTTGCTTCTCACGTCTTCCTCTCTTTTCTTGCTTCTCTCTCATTTGATTTCTTGTCATTTTCTTTTCTTTCCTCTTTCCTTCTCTCCTTGGTCTCACACCCCTCTTTCTCTGCATGTACCCCTCCTATCATGCTCTTTCTCTCCTCCTTTCTTCCTCCATTGGGACCATTCTTCCTTTCTTCTCGTTTTGCTAGTCTCGTTTCTGTCTTTGTGTCCTCCCTTCTCTTTCCACTTGGCTTCCTTTTCATTCACAGCAGGATTTCTGTGTAATCATTAGCAGAGCAACATTTCCTTTATTCAATAGTAAAAGGGTCTATCCATTGAGAACATTGAAGACTGACTGCCCAGATACCAATGTTTGAACACAGCATTTGGAATTTGGAGGATGATTTCTTAAATGTGTGGGGCAACTCTACTAAGCTGAAACTTTTGTTAACTTTGATAAGCACTTTAAAATAAAGAATAGCTATTCAATAATATTGGTTGTAGAACAGAAATGCATTTGATTTTCATAACCAAGACATGGATGGAGACAAAGCAAAAATAAACCCTGTGCAGTTACAGCTGTGAATACAAGAAGTGTGTGTGTGTGTGTGTGTGTGTGTGTGTCTTCCAACAGAGGTTTAAATAGTCTGCTGACCTTGTCAGTTCTAACTTCTGAACTTTTATTTCTTCGACGTTTCTATTGTCCAAAAACCTTTTAAATTTTATTTTTGAAACAAATAAGCATCCTGCCACTTTTGAGATGTCACATTTTTAATGCCACACTGATTGCTATACTACACTTTCTAAAGGAAACCCTGATTTATAGTTCTTATCTGACTCACACACAGTCAAAACAGGACCACAAGAGTGACTGGCACTTATTATACAACCAAATACCAATTCTCCAACCATTGTATTTGTCAAAGAGCAAAAGAGTCCAGTTTAAGACTCTTGATTTCTTGAGAACAGATTGGAATAGTGATCGTGTGTCTTTAAAAAGCAAACTTCCACTACAAATCCATTAACCACTTTCAAATACAGCTATCCTCCTGTCCAGCTGTGGAAGGCACTAGATGATACTGATCTGCCATTTGTGTTATTTACGGTCCATGACTTTTATGGTAACTGGTTCCTATTATTGGTTTCTATTAATGTAAAACATAAGTGAACAGAAATGAGGCGTGAATCATTTCTTTTTATTAGCCCCACAGTCTTCACTCAGAGCTTGCAGAAGCCCCAGCTGTGACTTCTTAGTAATAACCCATCTAAAGGAGATGTTTTTAAGAGTAAGGAAGGAGATTAGAAATCTTTGTCCATTTTGTGTTATTCCTCTCTAACACAGTGATTAATGTACATGCATCATACTTACCTACGTACATACATACATACATACATACATACATACATACATAGGAGATGTTTTTAAGAATAAGGAAGGAGATTAGAAATCTTTGTCCATTTTGTGTTATTCCTCTCTAACACAGTGATTAATGTACATGCATCATACTTACATACATACATACATGCATGCATACATACATACATACATACATACATACATACACATCAGTATGTCGTAATGATGCAGCAAATGCCTTTGGCTCAGCTATGCTGATCTGCTGCTGGCTGGCCAACCAGTGAACTGTGATGCCTAGTGTAACTCCTTACCTTACTTTACAGGAGGCTGTGCCGAGAGTCAACCAGTGAACTGTGATGCCTAGTGTGACTCCTTACCTTACTTTACAGGAGGCTGTGCCGAGAGTCACCCAGTGAACTGTGATGCCTAGTGTGACTCCTTACCTTACTTTACAGGAGGCTGTGCCGAGAGTCACCCAGGCTTGTCTGTGGACTCTTTACTCTCTCAGCTGTAGCCCAGAAAGACTGCCATTAGTTCCAGAGCCACTGAGTATCAGAATTCAGATAAAACAAGGGTGGACAGTGGGGCATTTGTGTTTAAGAAACCAAGTAAATACAAGATTTGGCACCCACATAAAGGCTTTCATTTACAATACAAGAGGACTTTTGCAAAGTTAAAACTCATAATCTCTTTTGTTTTTACTAACTTAAAAAGAGAAATTTGTGTTGGAAGGACTATAAGTTACAATGGAGAGAAACCTAGAACCATGGGTTTGCTAGTCTACAAATGTCTCTGCCAAGTCTGAAACAGTTTTAGGACAATCACTTTCATGAAAGAGGACATTTCTAAAAGATAAGTTATATGTTTTGTTTATTTATTTGTTTCTTGTTTTTTGAGACAGGGTTTCTCGGGGTAGCCTTGGCTATCCTGGAACTTGTTCTATCTATAAACCAGGTTGGCCTTGAATTTAAAGATGTACCTGCCTCTGCATCCCAAATGCTGGAATTAAAGACAAGTGCCACCACCGCCTTGGCTGATATTCTTGTCCTTTAATTTGCTTGTTTTATCTCTATGAAAAATGTTTTAAATTAATTGAATATACTTGTTTTATTTTGTAAGAATTCAGCACCACAGTTGTCAATGTGTCTGGAACTCTTCCATAGGGAAACACATTTGTCCTCCTGTCTTGTCAGGGGCCCTTCCGAGACATTAATGAAGTCCTGCATCAGCGTTACAAGCCTTTGGAGCCAACCCTGAGGGTGTCAGAACCCATCAACCACTTAGAGCTGGCCAGAGAGGCGCTTAAGCAAGAGGAGCGGATGCTCAACGTGAACGACAAGATGTGAGTGCTTAGCGGAGCTTGTTTGCTGATTCAAACTTTCCAGTGTTTCCTGTTAACCTAACTTCATAGGGAAAGCTTCCCTTATTTATGCAGAAAAGTAAAGTCACTCTCTACCTATTCAGTGGCAATCATTTTACAGCACACAATGTTGTAAGTGAGGGCAGTATTGATGGTAAGATGTGTATACACCAGTCACAGGGAAAATGCAAATCCATATGCCATTCCCCTAAAATTCTCAGAGGAGATGAATACCAGTGATGCTTTCAGAGGGAAAATGACAACTGTGATGTCTGAAAATAAAGCCTTGAAATGTTTAATGAATTCATATTTATTTATGATGCTCTCAAAATAATATAATAGAGTAGGCACATCTTCTGTGGACGAGCTGTGCTTGCACACAACAGTCAATGCAACTTCTTAAATCAGTGCAGTGGGAGATGTAAGTTCAGATTGAGGAGGCAAGTCAAAGCAGAGGCTAACCTGTCAGCATATTCAGTGTAAATTATTTTAATAGCAGTAGTGACTTAGGCTTTACCACGAAACATCTTTCTCTTTATGTTCCCTTTCTCTTAAGGTGCTTTGTCCACAATAGAGTCACATGTAATTTGTAATGGACCATTGTAAATCTAGAATGGTCTTAATGCTATTATTGTTATTATCCTAGACTGTCTCATGTAATCATTATTGCAGTGTATCTTAGCCATATTTTAGCGTTTCATGCACTAAATGATAATGGCAATACTACCTGTGATTTTAATTACAATGTAATAATTTAGTATGATATAAGTTACTACTATAAATTCCTATATAATAGCATGTTATAATATATAAAATGCCATTCACAATAACTACTGACCATCATTGTATGTTACATGGCAATAGCTTATATAATAGTAATTACAAATGCATTAAAATATGTTGTATAAAGAAACAAGAATGAAATTTCTCCTTCATAGTAGGTTTTCAATCATTTTATCAGTCAAGAAATATACATATGTCTCTTTAGGATAAAGGAATTTTAAACAAATACTGAAAAATAAAAATGTTCACAAATGGTCATGCAGTCAAAAGAAATTGTCTAGATTTTCATCTTCAGTCACTGTTAGTCAAGAAAATAATTATAGCACTTTTAGTAGATTCTTCCAGTATCTGATCAAGTCAACCCAGTGTATCAAAAATAAAAATAATAGTGCCTTAACCTATTAGTTTTGGAAAAATACACATATTTACTTCAGAAATTACTTAAGATTCTTTGACTCAAATTTAGGTTAAAAAATGTAGCTTAGTCATGAATATATAAAGAGGTATGTCTTAAAATTCTTTTGTTTTTATTGTGAGATGGAGTCTCAGCATGTATCCCCGGCTAGCCCTAACCTTGCCACCTGTCCTTGCCTGTGCTGGTTTTCACTGTGACCAGCTCAGAATTACTTTTCTATTTTCAACAATTCAAAGTTTATGAAAGGGAAGACTCATTACCAAAATAATTGATACTGTAGGTTATCCCACTGACATTCATGGAAAAGTCAGTACTCTTCAGATGACCATGGTTACTGTAGGTTATCCCACTGATGCTCATGGAGAAGTTAATGGTCTTCAGATTATCATGATTACTGTAAGTTATCCCACTGATGCACATGGAGAAGTCAATGGTCTTCAGATGATCATAGTTACTGTAGGTTATCTCACTGACGTTCATGGAGAAGTCAGTGCTCTTCAAATGAATCATGATGCCTTCTCTTAGAATTTTCTTGATCAGGCTTGCAAGATCAAGCATCATGTCATCTCCAAAGGATGGTGCTTGGAGACTACCCACAGATCACCTGTAAGTAACATGTGTGCACAGGTCTTTGTGAAGACCTTTCATGTGGAAGCATTTGGAAACTCAACAGGATTTTGGGGATTACTAAGCCCATCAGAAACAAGCTAAGTCAGAATTGTTGAAGACTCACTGAGAAGTTCAGACCACTTACTCTTTTGGCAGCTTATCTAAGCAGTTGCTTTCAGTAGTTAATCTAATGTTCATTCCATCATAGAGGGTTTGAAATACTGATGCTTTATAACTTATTCCAAAACAATTGTGTTTTTGAATGGTGGATAATCCACAACTGTATCTTGTGTAGAAATATTAGAGCTAGGCTTTACATATTTATTGATAATAATTTCATGATGAAATCATAGAAAGAAGTTTAAACTTACACAGACATGTATGCTTTAAATGTGGAGACCCTCTTCCTACAATAACAAATTACCAGAAGTCAAAGGCAGGATGCCTGTCACCAGCCTGAGACTTGTTTAATGACCATCTGTGTATCAGTCGGAAAAGGCAAAGCTTTATCTCTGATCTCAAGGGCTAGAGATGCAGCCCTGCATTGATGCACAGTGCCTTTTGCTTTCATGTTGTCAGGAAGAGGACATTGCATTTTATCAGCAGGAATTTGAATCCTACAAGTTCAAATCTTGCCACATCCCACTGCCAACAACAGCAGTATGCTCTTACAACTCTTAGGAAAGTAATTTCACCACGTCTGCTAGGGGGATAAAAATGTTACCTTAAATGATTGTAATAAGGGATAGTAATTTAGACAGGTTTAAATAAAGAATAATTATTAATTATCAGGGCTGGGAAATATTGCTTAGTGGGTAATATTTGCTGCATAAGCAGAAGATCAGAGTTCAAATTCCCCAGCACACATGCAAAAAAGGTGGCCATGTGCATCTGTAACCCTACATCGAGGGATATAAAGAGGTTGTTCTCAGCTAGTTTAGTTCCAGGTTCAGTGAGACAACCCAATTCAAGGAAACAGGCAGAAAGGACAACATCCAGTGTCTTCTCCTGGAATCCACAAACACACATAGGTGCATACACTCACACATACAATTGTACATAATCACACACACACACACACACATACACTTTGCATATGCTACAGGAATCATACTTCTGCACAACATCTATCCAAGAAGTAGGAGGAAGAAATCACGTTACAAATACAGGTTTGGCTTCACACACTAATTTACAGGACTTCAGAAACTTTCACCACTCATTATCCCATTTTAAGTTCAAGAAATTTCTATTTGACACTACATGTCTGAATGTGTAGATATACAAATAACTGATAGTAAATCACAACATAATTTATTTTAAAATAATTTTATGCACACAATTTAACACATATTAAAGGTTAAACCAACTGGATATAATAAGATGGAAGTACTTGTTTATTTTTATTTAAAGAATTGAGTCTTGGTTGAATATTTGAATATGCAAGAAACAATATCTTCAGCATTTTTCCAGTTGATTGGCATTTTGATTTTTGCATCATCAGTGCTGACCTTACAGTTTTGCATAAATACATAATACAAAATGACAGAAGTATATTTGAAGGCATTTCAAAAACCGTTGAGAATGATCCTAATTCCAAGCTAGATTCATAGAACATTTTAAAATGAAACTTATCAGCAACTGTAGTGGCATCTTGCTTTGTCAGTGAACTTGTGGTGGTGGCCACATTGTCCTTATACTGCACATCTGTTTAAAGATTTTTAAAATTATATTTTGGAAGCTTCAGTCAGTAAGCAATATATGTTTCTGAGAATTAGAGATTATAGTTTCCCATGCTTCTTATACCTAATGATCTTAGTCAGGTTCTCTATGTGTCCCGAGATTTTCCTGACATAGATATTTGATCTTCAGACACTTCAAAGACCTACAGAATATGGACTTTAAATGTTTTAATAATTTAGAACTCCATTTACATGAGACAAAATTGCTCCTTGCAGCAGCGATTATTCCCGTGAATATGATGGACACCAATGACACCCATTTGGAGTTTGTTTTCTTCTTGGCAATACTGGCCTTTTGATCAAAGATCTGCCCGTGCTTCAACCACTAACATTGGACCTGCTGTTCTAACTGGGCTAGGAGGAGATAAACATAAAGAGACTGCTGAACCTTGCCAAGTCATAGTAGGACAGTCTTTTAAATTTTCTTGTTTCTGAGATGGTCTGTCAGATACTCTAGGCTTTAGCCAAAATTGGTTGCCCTGATATTACTGCAAGACCTTGGGTGACTGTCCAGGTAGCCAGCTGTTTCTGTCTTTGCTTGAACCTTTAGAAAGTCACACACTTATACTTCCTGCTCACCCTAGTATTGTTATTTTCCTTTTCAGGTCTTTGATGAGGTTGAAGACTAGATAGTCACAGCTAATATCCTCTCATATATTATCTAGAACATATTAGGTACAATACATAGACTTTCCAGAATAGGACAGCTATTGGAATAATCTCTGTTATATGCCATTGCCCTGGGCTTGGACATCTAGTATGTGTTTCTTGCTTAATTTTTCTCTTGCTGGTTGCAGTTCTGAATTTGTGTATGTTTTTACCTTTCCTTCTGCTGGACTATACTTGATATTTGTTACCATTGTATATAGTTTTTGTATCAGGCTTAAAATCATCTTATTTATATAAAAAAAGGGAAATGTAGTAGCATCTTGCTTTGCCTGTGAACTTGTGGTGGTGGCCATACCCTAGGGGTGTGGTTTCAGTTGTTCAGAAACGACCTCTTCAAAGGTAGAGGAGGATCTGGCATGCTCTCTTGGGTTTAGGAGAGAGCATTGGAAAGGCAAAGACTGTATCATTTGGAGCAGGAAGACCATGGTGGTTATTTACTATTATTCGTGTAAGTGCTTCCCTAATAAATACCTAATTATCATTTATCTTGGGTCTGGTAAACTCATTTAACCTACCCCCTTCAAGCAATTCAAACAGTTATTTTAAAAATCAAATGTTTTAACACAACACACTGCAGAGATGCATGAATTTGATACTTACATTTGGAGAATTTCCTGTGCACAAATAGTGTGATTCTTTGTTTTCCAGTGCCCTCAGTCGTGAATCTGGAGAGGGGACTGGTAGTGAAGTGGTGGTTGCTGGCGAAAGACCAGGCAGGAGAGTGGGGAGAGGAACCAGAGTGTGTTTGTGTACCCGTGTGGCATTGT